CACACACACACACACACACACACTCACACACACACACACACACATTAACCCTGAAACACACACACACACACACTCATAATCACACACACTCACTCACATACACACATTTACCCTGAAACACACACACACACATAATCTCACACACACACACACACACACACTCACACACACACACACACACATTAACCCTGAAACACACACACACACACACTCATAATCACACACACACACGCACACACACTCATTAACACTCACACACACTCATAATCACACACACACACACACACTCTTACCCTGAAACACACGTTCAAACGCACACCTTTACCCCGAGACATCCAACAGCACACAGACTGAACATGATCTCCAGAGAGCTCTTCTTGCTCACCTTCTTGTCCTTCTCGGAGCCGTCGGTCAGCAGCACTCCTTTGGCCTGCATGTGTCGGTACAGGACCCTCTGCAGCGCAGACATGTCACACTTGATCACGTACTCCACCTGCACACAGACACAAAACAGCACAATGCTTCATCTGTCCGAGGCGACGACAGACAGACTGCATCAGAATCACCTTCTCAGGCAGCTGCGCCTCCACTTCCTTCTTCAGCCGGCGCAACAGGAAGGGGCGGAGCACCTTGTGCAGGCGGCGGATGATCAGGATGGTCTCCTCCTCGTTCAGATCCACCTGAGAGACACATCAGTCACGTCTACTACTGCTCTTCATTTCCCAGCATGTCTTGACGAGCAGAATCACACATTAAAGGCTCAGGATGGAATCACACTGGTTAGTTTGTTTTATCACAATCATGTGAACATAGAGGTAGATTTAAATGAATTCCACTACTTTGCTTTGAATGGCAACTTCACGTTTCGTGCCTGTAAAGCGCAGTGCCACGATCATGGGTTTGATTGACAGGAAAAGCATGAATTGATAAAAATGTATGATGTGACTGAATGCAATTTAAGTTGTTTTGGATAAGATCGTCTGCCAAATGTGTGAATGTAAATGAAATGTCAGGTTGACATCCTCTAGGATCATCCAGAACGCGGCAGCAAGATTAATTCTTAATGAGCTGAAAATAATGCATGTCACAGCTCTGTTCATCAATTTGCACTGGCTACCAGTAGCTGCTCGCATTAAATTCAAGGCATTAATGTTTGCCTACAAAACCACCACTGGCTCTGCACCCATTTACCTAAATTCATTACTTCAGAGTTATGTGCCCTCTAGAAGCTTGCGTTCTGCAAGTGAACGGCGTATTATTGTGCCATCTAAAAGAGGCAAAAAATCACTTTCACAGACTTTTTCACTAACTGTTCCCTCCTGGTGGAATGACCCGCCCAACTCAATCCGAGCAGCTGAGTCCTTAGCCATCTTCAAGAAACGACTAAAACACATCTGTTCCACCTTTATTTGACCCTCTAACTCGAACACTTTCTATTCTATTTTAATTCTACTTTATCTATAAAACACACAAACATCATTTCTAGCACTAGTCTTCTCTGAGTAACCGCTGCCAGCCACGATGATGGAGTCGGCCCGACCGTTCCCACGTCTTTAACATATGAGTGTTGGGCAGTAACTAGTGTCACTAATATTAAGATTTCAGTAATCATATTACAGTTACCATCCATAAAACCCCTAGTGATCTGAAATCAAATAATCCAATAATTCCTAGATTTATATTCATAATTTTCACAACTCGTGAATGCATGAAGTCACCAGAGCAGCAGGCAAACTTAGAATATGGAAACGCTTACATTCAGCGGATGGAAATATTGCCATTACATTGATTTTGTGAGGAGAAATGATGATCTGGCATTACTTGACTCATCCCTCTGATCCCGATATAAATTGTATAAAATCTTTTTAGAAAACGAAACAATTTCTTATGAACTTACGTGATTTCCTTTGATTAAATACATCGTGGAATATAACTGTATATGGGCAACAGAGAAATTATAGCTACAATTAGCTACAAGCTACACATGACAATTAATGAGATTGATACAACACTTTTACTTAAACGTCACTATCAATCACCACTGAGTGTTCGTAATCACTTCTGAGTTCTGACTGCGATCCAGTGTGGATTTTGTTCAAATGATGAGGCAGAAATATATTGTTAGTAATATTTTAGAAGATATGCAATTACAGTACAACTTCTGTGGGGCATGAAAGAAAAGTAATGTAATTAGTAGTGTAACTAATTCTAACTAAGTCAATAGAGGCTCATGTCTCAATCATCATATCCTGGTGTCAGGACACAGTTTTGCAGCGTCCCTCCTAATTATTCCTATATCCTTGGGATGGGTTTGGATATATTCTGAGCTCAGTGCGTGATCTCTAGTGAAGAAGCCTCAACACACACATGCTCCGAGGAATCATCCAGACGCTGCAGGACGAGGTTTGTCCAGATCATCATGAGCAATAATAATCATAATCCTGCTATACTTCACAAACTACAGACAAACACAGAGAAACACAAGCTCACCGTCCAGACGCAGGTATTTAAAGCTGCGGTAAGCGAGAGCTCAAGCATTTAAAGCGCTCATAATAAACATAACGTTATTGACCGCCAGTGAGGATGATAACTAGTAAAATAGTTATTATAGTTATTGTTCTTAGTGTGGACAGGTCTTAACGGTCAATCCCTGAGCGATGACTAACTTTAGCTTTTCTCTGTTTATTTTCTTAAAGGGGTCATACGACGGGATTTCAGGTTTTCCTTTGTCTTTGGAGTGTTACAAGCTCTTCGTGCATAGATAAGATCCGAAAAGTCGCAAAGATTAAAGTCTTAAACCCAAAGAGATATTCTTTCTAAAAGTTAAGACTCATCCGTTCCTTCCTAAAACACCTTGTTTAAACGCGCCTCCGCAAATCTACATCGTTGTGTGGGAAGATTTGCATAACACCACTCAAATGTTTACGTAAAGAAAGAAGGCGTAACTTTTATTATCTCTGTAGTATTGTTGTCGTGGAGACGCTGTGTGTTTCTAAATATGGTAAGGGGCGTAACATTTCTGTCACACGCTTGAGGTATTCGGCCAATCACAGCACACCTCGCTTTTCAGAACGATGAGCTTCGTAAAAATCGACGCGTTTCAGAAAGGCGGGACAATAATGTACGGTATGTGGAAAATAATGTTTTTTTTAACCTTAAACCACGTGAACACATAAATACACAAAATAAATGTTATAAATAACATTAATAAATAATCAAGTTACAGTGAATAAAATGTCTGCATTTGAGCACATTTCTGAAAGTCTGATTCATGCTTTCATAGCAAACACCTGCTACTACGCTAACACAAGCAGCATTAGCACTCATAATCAGTCTGTGTAATGACGGCTCGGTGTCAGAGATGTGCTCAGCACTAGTGAAACAGACGGGCATTTCTGTCACACGCTTGAGGTATTCGGCCAATCACAGCACACCTCGCTTTTCAGAACGATGAGCTTCGTAAAAATCGACGCGTTTCAGAAAGGCGGGACAATAATGTACGGTATGTGGAAAATAATGTTTTTTTTAACCTTAAACCACGTGAACACATAAATACACAAAATAAATGTTATAAATAACATTAATAAATAATCAAGTTACAGTGAATAAAATGTCTGCATTTGAGCACATTTCTGAAAGTCTGATTCATGCTTTCATAGCAAACACCTGCTACTACGCTAACACAAGCAGCATTAGCACTCATAATCAGTCTGTGTAATGACGGCTCGGTGTCAGAGATGTGCTCAGCACTAGTGAAACAGACGGACCTTCTCTCCGGTCATGGCGAAGGGAGCGTTGAACCACTGCTCAAACGTGCTGCAGCTCTTGAAGATGGTGGGCAGCAGGAAGTTGAGCAGCGCCCAGAGCTCGGGCAGCTTGTTCTGCAGCGGGGTCCCGGTCAGAAGCACACGCCGTGGAGCCAGGTAATGCGTGTTCAACACCTGCGTCAGCTTACAGTGATGGTTCTTCATGCGATGGCCTTCGTCCACGATCATGTACTTCCAGCGAATCTGTGTCAGGTGACAGGATCTCATCAGCGCGTCTGACCGAGGTCAAAGGTCACAGGTGACCACACAGAGGCACACGCATACCTTGGCCAGCACATGCTTGTCTTTGATGATGTATTCGTATGTAGTGATCAGCACGTTGAACTTGCCGCTGCGCAGCTGTGGGATGAAGGCTCTTCTAGCAGCAGGAGATCCCTGAACACACACGATCACATGATCAAACCAGCGCTTGGGTTTGTGGGAGGACTACTAACAGAACAGGCTCACTACACTGAAAGGTCATCATGAAATTGACCATTTACTTCCTTAAAACATTTACATTTATTCAAAGCGACATAAGAAACATCATAAGGACTTAAGAGTTGCTGTATTTGCAGAACACAGGCATAATATAAACTGAAGTGACACTACTGTCTTCAGTACAGCTGACGTCATTTCATAATTGATGAGTTTTACAACATTAACAGTTATTTTCATGTTTACCTGTTGACATGATAAGCTAAGACTGATTCAGATTTACTCCAGATCATGTGTCTCTGTGTCGCTCACCTTATACGAGACTTTGACGACAGACGGCGCCCACTTATCAAACTCATAGACCCAGTTAGACAGAGTCCTGTCAGAGAAACACAGTGTTCATCAAACAGACTCTCTGTGTGAACATACAGAAGTATGAAAGCTGATGTAAAAACAGGCAGAGCGACTGACGAGAGCGGCACGATGATGACGTAGGGTCCGTTCAGACGCTTGTTCTCCATCAGGTACGTGATGAGAGCGATGGTTTGGATGGTTTTGCCCAAACCCATCTCATCCGCCAGGATCCCATTCAGATTGTTGTTATAGAGAGACACCAGCCACTCCAGACCCTTGACCTGTGGAGAAACAGTCAAAACGTCCCACGTTCAACATGTTGGGTTTGTTTCATCTGTCTGAAATCTCTTCGTTTGGATGGTTTTATAAGGATTGGATTGATTTCTGTTTGTGATCCCTAGAGCTCTCTTAGTTCTTTCTTAAAGGGATCGTGACATAAGAAATCAAGTTTTCCATGATCTTTTGGCATATGAGAGGTCTTTGTACCACTAAAACATCCTGCAAGTTTCATAGCTTAAAACCTCCTCCTCATTATAAACAAAGCATTGAAAGCTTTAGGCCCCATTCATTATAATTACATCTAGCGACCATCACAGTCCTCAGAACTTCTCCTGTTCTTCTCCTGTTCCTCAGAACTTCTCCTGTTCTTCTCCTGTTCCTCAGAACTTCTCCTGTTCTCCTCCAGAGCTCCAAAAACGGCTCTTTGGATCCGAGGTGCAGGATGATGTCACCTGTGTGCAGTCGTTTGCATAAACTCCGCCTCCAGAGCAGCACATTGGCAAATAGTCTTCTTCTAAGCATAGGCCCCGCCCACTGGCGTTCAGTTGCTAACGGCTAACACTTGATCACGCTGAATGCTAGCGTCGCATCGTGTCAAAAGCAAATAGAAATCACAATCACTGCACTATCTTGTCTGCACTGGATACAGTAAACAGATGCGGTTCTCTTTCTGACAGTCCAGCGCTCAAGTCTGTCGTCAGGACTAATGCAGTGAAAGAACGCTCGCTTTGACGCGTTTGGTTTAAACAGCGTTCGCGTCTTTGTACAGATATCAGAAGTTTCCCAGCGTAAGGAACAAGTGGACAGTGTATTTTTAATGGCGTCCCGGATCGTGTCGGAGCATTTTGTTTTGTAAACGAGGCACAGTGTCATGGAGAGTCACAAAGAAACATCTGTTGAAAGAGGAAGTGGTGCTAGATCTGCATCACAAACCATAAGTAAATTATTTCATAATGCTTTGTCTGGAAATGAACGTTTTATTTTGATCATGTTGTAAAAACACTCACATGCAATAGCAAGAGTGCATTGATTAGCCCTGCATTCTATTTGCATGGGCTCATCCCAACGCCCTTTACCCTCCGGAGTGAGAGCTTCGAAGGGCTGAAGGGTGTAGGGGACCAAACAACTGTTTCTTGAAGTGCCCTTCTGCGTCATCATCACATGCCCACATGGAGGCGCCGTCAAATCGAAATCCTTCATTCCGAAGAGCCCTTTGAAGTGGCCAGTTTTGAGCACTTCGGTTTGGAACGACCCTTCAATATGGCGGCCATGATTGTTTTCACTCCGAAGTGGCCTTCGGAGGGCGATATATCCCGTTTAGAACGCACCGACTGTTTCCTATGCAGTGACGTTAGCCAATCACAACAGTGTCTGTTTACTGAGAAGCCTTAAAGAACCCGCCCCTTAAAACAGATCGTTTTAGACAGAGGGTCAAAATGAGGGTTTAAAATTATTTTTACACATTTATTTTTTTATTTTTTTTTGTGGAAAAAATAAACTTTATTAACATTATAATAAACCTCAATGAACATATTAAAATAATTTAAAAATCCATGTCATGACCTCTTAAATGTGTGTTTTGTGCGCATCGATCGCCTGTTCTCAGATACCCACGGCAGTCGTCTGGTAATGTTGAAAGTGTTGATGTTGAACGACTGGTAAGAGCTCAGAATGACCTGGTATTGCTTGAGTTGACCGTTGATTAGCAAAGACGGCTGTTTGTCCACCCGCTCAGTGACCGCATGAGCCACGGCGTAATACGACTGTAACCCACGAGCAAACGCTGCGCTGCCGTACTCATCATCCACGTCCTGTTTAGCATGCCTGCAAAACACACACACACTCACACTCACATAAGAGACATTAGAGAGACACACACACACACACACACATAAGAGACATGAGAGAGACACACACACACATACGCGAGACACACACACACATACAAAAGAAACATGAGACACACACACACATAAGAGACATAAGAGAAACACACACACACACTCACATAAGAGACATTAGAGAGACACAGACACACACACACATAAGAGACATGAGAGACACACACACACACACACACTCACATAAGAGACATTAGAGAGACACACACACACACTCACATAAGAGACATGAGAGACACACACACACACACACACACATAAGAGACATGAGAGAGACACACATTAGCTCCAAACATCTGAGAGCACTTGTGGAAATGTTTCTTATTTTGCATTCTCCTGTAATTTAATACTAAATATTTCATCACTAGTCATAAGATCAGCATCACAATATGAGTGAGTGCAGAAGGAAGAAGGACGTGAGAATCAGCACTGGAGCGTCATCTAAACCTGATCATCATGTTCTCGGAGCATCTTCAGCTTCACTGGAAGAACCACATGATCAATGATCACTGATTATTTGATTAGTCACTTAAAAATAAGGCTAAATCTGATAAATATTGTGTTTGTTTTACATCATCACTTTTCCTTCAAAATCATAAAATGAGCTGTTTATTTGCAAGTTTAAATTAGATTTTAAATCCCAGATATCCAGTGTGCTCTCAGGCGTTTGGAGGAATCAGAGAGCCGCTGTGAGTGTGCTAGAGCCGCTTGCCTGGTGCTTCTGCCTGCGTTTGCGTTCCTGTTCGATCTTCTGCTGTTTCTCTAGTTTCTCTGTGATTCGTGCCTCACGTAACGACTGCCTCTTGTTGCGCTTGTAGCCCTTTGAGTCCAGTGAGGTTTCTAAGGCCGTGTCGCGTCTCATGCAAACCACCACCTCCTGACGCAGCTGTGAAGGCAAACAGATGAACATCAGAGCGCTTTAGCAGAGGATGTTCAACAGATGCACTGATGCAGTGGAATATGTCAGTAGATTGATGTGGATCACAGAGTCAGTCCGGGTTCATCACCTGTCTCTGGAAGTTGAGCAGTCGGAGCGCTTTGAGCTCAATCGTGGCTTTGGTGCGCAGATCTCCAGCCAGAGACCCTGGAAGATTCTCCAGCTCCTGAATACGGTGAGTGATACGAGCTTCCAGCCTGCAGAGACACAAAGCATCAGAAGTCCAGGAACCACTCGGCAGTGACACGGAGCCGGTGCAGTCCGCACGAACTGGGAGATTCTGGACTCATTCAGGAGATGCGTAATAGCGCCCCCTAGTGTATAACAGCAAGAACACGGAAACCAGGAAAATTCCGTGTTTGGTGGGGAAAGAGTTAAGAACAGATAACCGAGTAAATCACTTCAGTGCAGGTTCACTAGAAGCCTGAAAAAGCGTCGTTTCTGTTGGTTTAGAGGAGGCTGGTTTAACGAGCAGCGGTGGCAGTGTTCTCTGAGAGCAATCATTTGTTCTCCGCCTGCGGTTCTGTCAGGGTCAGGGCTAGGACTCACCTGTACTCTCTCTCCTGCAGGATCTCCACCGGGTCCAGACCGCAGGGCTTCTGAACCGGCGTGATGCGGTTCTGCTTCTGGTGCAGTGGCACCATGGTGGCGGGCTGAGACGAGTGGCCCAGGTGTGCTGGAGACTGGGTCTGCGGTGGCATGACCGGAGAAGCGGCCGGTGGCACAGACGGGGGTGCAGGAGAGGGGCGTCCGGTGGGCTGCAGCGGCATCAGCTTCTGAGGAGCGTTCGAGGGGGTCGCCGCATTGACCAGAGGACCTGCCACACAGACACACATCATCACAGGCTGCTTTACCAGAAGAAGCGTGTTACCAGAAGAAGTTCACGGATGCGCTCTCACCTTCAGGCCACGGTTTCGGGGGCCCGTTGTGGTTCTGGCCCTGAACACCAGCCGGGACTCCAGAAGGTCCAGGAGGAGGCATGTTGGGTCCCACCATCCCTGCGGAGCAACCGGCACAAACTAACCCTTTACTAAAGTCACCACAGACGAGTGCAGCGAAGCTGACTGTTCAACACACTTCCACTCCAGAATCATTCAGAAACACACTCAATCTGAATTAGGAGCGAGGTTACACACAGAATTTGAATTGTGACTTTAAGGACCTAGAAATTAAATCAAATGAAATACAAATGTGTAAAACTGTGCAGTTTTTAATTATACATTTCATTGGAGTATTTTAATAATTAAAGGGGTGGTTGATTGCGATTTCACTCTTTTAACTTTAGTTAGTGTGTAATGTTGCTGTTTAGAGCATAAACCCGGAGGTGGACAGGAGAGGACCGGACACGGGACTGGACACGAGCTCTGAAGAGCCCAGCGGAGACGGGAATCCTGCAGGAGGAGACACACTGCAGTAACACATCGTCTCGGTTGGGACGTTTCGTTTTTCTAATAATGTATAAATACTAAATATACAGCAGATATTGCTTTTGTGGATTGACAGTCATCACTTCTAGCAGAGCTAGGGTTGAGGGAACACATACCACTGGATAAAACATATCTATACATAATACAGTTTGTTTGTATTCTGATCATTTGTTAAGATGTTTAAATGTGAATATTAAGATCCTGCTGAATGTAAATGGATAGAGGTAACAACTAATTGTTTTATTTGTTCATTTAAGTTTTTAAAAGTTACCGTGTTACCACAGCAGACATACTGTTCTGAGATCATTTGTGTTCCAATGATATACTAAAATGCTTAAATGTGAATCTTGAATAAAAGCTTTATAAACAACAACATTCTCACTGTTGTTTGTTGTTGTTTTAATACAGTAATTGATTGATTCAATGCATTAGATAGTTAAAATAACTACAAATTCATCATTTCGTCACCACCGTCAGATGAATATTTTGATATTTCATTATGATATTTTATATTTGTTGAGGAATTGTTGGTCACATGTGAAAGTGTAATCTGTCTGCTAACATGAGAATGTGTTTTGTAATGTTAAAAACATCTTGATTGCTGTTAAATATAAAGTTAATATTATATTACACAGTCCAAGGTAAAAAGCACATTTTGATAAAAAGGAGAAAAGTTGGGAGGTTGCATCAAAGCATAGCTCAGTAGCTTAGTGCATATAAGATAAATAAATGTGGTTTCATTATTCTGCTGCTGGTGAGGAGCATGAGGTGCGTTACCTTGTGAGTGCTGGTCCATTGGGCTCCCTGGACGGGTCATCCTCATTGGAACCACCTTCATCTGAGTGAAGCGAGCGTCTTCTGAAAGGTTCTCCTCCACCGGCTTTAGGACAAAGAAAGACATTAATAGAGATATGACCTCTGCTATTGGGCTTTGAGGCTGGTTTAGACCTCCACCTTGTGCATCTGGTGCAGACTCTCCTGGCTGTATCCCGCAGACGCTTGCGGAGGAAAGGAGAGTCCTGTGGAAGTGGCTGGTCCGGGACTGGGGCCCATCATGCTGTGTGAGGATCCAGGGGACAGTCCGGACCCCAGCACGGCCCCTGGAGACGGGCCCGGACCAGGCGAGGGCCCCGGGCAGGGCGTGCCTCCTAACGGGGGCTCCGGGGTGGACATGCCACAGACTCAGCCTGCATTCGAGGTTTAGGACAGAACATTTATGCCCATTAAAATCTGACTTTATAAACTATCACCATATAATAACGTCTGCTTTCTCTCTCTCTCTATACAAGCACAATTTATTTACATGACTTTTCTTAAGGGACTTTTTTCTCTTCCAAAACAATGCTGCAGTTTTGAATCTAAATGGCTCCCTCTGGGATCAATGCTTCACAACATCATCTAGTTGAAGAAGTGAATTACAGAGAATAAATACAGATTCATACAAATAATATCAGCGACTGGCAGAAAACATCACACCTTAATAGCAGTTCATGCAGCTTTGACCAGTTAATTATCTTTTTTCCATATCATCATTTTATTTAAAAAAAATTTTTAAATCTATTTTAACAAGAAAAATTCACTATGCAAATTCCCATTTTGAGATTGCATTAGTTTCCATGACTGTTCCAGGCCTGAGAAGCTTCATTTGTAAATGGACTGTATTGTCCAGGTCTTCTGTGGTACATGATGATGATGATGATGAGGCAGGAGGAAGAAGGCTTTATTAGTGTCAGATGATTCTGCCGAGCCGATCAACTCATTCCTGCCCCTGGAAACATCAAACAGCGGCTCGTTTTGGGAAAATAAGCCGAGCATGCACATTTGACAGGAGAATAAAATGCCGTCCAGCTCGAGCCGCTGCAGTGTTCGGAGCTCGCGTCGGATCCGGAGTCGCAGCGACGCAGCGCGATAGAAACATGACGCACGCAGCGCCAGACAGCCTGATGCTGTGCTGGAGCTCAAACTGCAGACATCGACACGATAATAATTCCTTGCGTATTTAATCAGACTTACCCTCAATATAATAAACGAGCTCGAGCCGACGCCGGAGCCGCAGACAGCCGCTGATTCCGTTCATTCGGTCTGTGCTCGAGTACGGAGCGCCGCGGCGGACACGGAGATCCACACGAGACGGACAGAAGCAACGAGACTGCTTTTCTAAATGATCAAATATACATTTTATATATACATTGTATTTTGTCTCTTGATGTTTTTCTTTCAGTGTGTTGGTTATTGTAACAACTTGTGTTTATTTTGACCAGAATAAACACTTTATCTGTCTACAAACAAAATAAATTTCACCAACCTATAGGCTAGATATATCTAAGATGTAATTAATATTTTTCATTCTGTAGTATAAGAGAGCTATACTGACGTATATACTGTGTAGCTTATAATTTTAATGCACTTATAATTGTATCAGATAAGTAGACACGCGTCTGTAAGGTGTCTGTTAAAGATCGCTTGATCTGGAAAGCATCTGCTGTGTACAAACATCTGACAGACGTCTGTAAGATGTCAGCTTTACATTCTAAATCATAAACATCTTAAAGACATCTATTTGACATCTGAATGTCCTTTAGACGCATCGCAGATGAGCAAACACTCTAAAATATGTCTTGCAGATGTAAATGCAGATGTCAAATAGACGTCTCTGTGATGTGCGTGTGCTATCAGGGAGATATGCATCGGCCTACTGTCCATCACTGCAGCCAGCATCCATCCCTCCATCCATCAGTTCAGTTTACAAGCGTGTGCATGGAGCTGCAGGGAAACACCGACAATGCTGCCCAGTTTGTGTGGTTTGTAGCCCAGCTGATGGGTAAATATAGGACAAAATATGTTGATCTATCCTTACTGTGCATCACACATGAGAGCTCACATTATAACAGTGTTTCAGACAGATGATGACAGCTCAAACTTGAATGAGAAGGGAAAACCTCGTTTTACTCTATGCTGTTTTAATATTTTCTTTCAGTAATTTATTTGTATGCACTGAAAATCCTTTGCTAATACAAAAGCACAATTTATTTTCATGCTGATAAAAAACACATTAAAACGGAACCAGACAAGTGGTAAATATAGAAGGAATATGTCCAAGTCATTTATATGTGCCAAACTTCCTGCTGCCAGCTGGTGGCGCTATGGTTATAAATGAATATTGGCCTTTAGATGTGTTCAGGCCAGGACTCTTATTGAACGTGGGAAATTATAACAGCTTCCTATTCCCATGGCGAAACATCGAAGTTTGTCATGCCGCCACAGACACGCCCTCCAATGAAAACTCAAGATCTTCGCAATGTACCGTCACAAAGGGCTTTAGATTACGCTGACCAAATTTGGTGATGATCTGTTGAAATCTCTAGGAAGAGTTCGTTTAAATACAGTGCCTGAAAATGGCAAAAACATCACAAAACCTGTCAAGAAAAGTAAAAATAACAGACTTCCTGTTGGGTTTCAGACTTTGTACCATACTTTTTTGTAGGTATTGGTGTGTTACATGTGTGTACTGAATTTCATACATGTATGCTCAAGGGGCACTTCATTGAAATTTCATAGATATATATACAGTATACTTGTTACATCGTTAGAGGAATGGCATCTACACTAATATTAGTCTGTTTCTCTCTTATTCCGAGGTCACCGCTGCCACCAGATCCAGTCTGTATCCAGAAGATGAGTCCTCTGCACAATCTGACTCTGCTGCAGCCTGGAACTGAACTGCTGGTTTCGTCTGGCCAGGCCCAGAGGAGAATACTAGAAATACTATTTCCCTTTTTAATAATGTAAAGCTGCTTTGACACAATCTGCATTATAAAAAGCGCTATATAAATAACGGTGACTTGACTTGACTTATAGGTGGCGCTATTGAGCCTTTTTGCCACACCCACTTCTGAAACCCATTTCAGATGTTCATTTTCGCCACTTCTGGCACGTGTGCAAAGTTTTCGAGCATGTTTAGGCCCTCAAAAATGCTATTTATTTTGGAGAAGAAGAAGAAACCGAGCAATTCCATCGGTGCTCAGGCCCTAATGATATTGAAGCAAGGACAAGACACTGTTGTTCTTCTGCAAAAAACACATGATCTTGTGAAGCTGCCATAATTTAATATTTTGAAGGTGATTGTGTAATAAATGATTGAGTGTTTTTGATGTGTGTGATGAACGTTTGTCATGTTATGGAAGAATAAGATGATTTTGAGGCACGAATGTATGGTTGTAGTCTAGATAAATCTTTTTTTTTTCCAGTGTAGGAGGAACACTTTTCGTTTGGAGGAAGTGAACTTGCTATCAAGAAAAGCATGGAATCAATTAGTGTGAATCAAGAGGACAAACGTTTACATGTTACCTTTTTGTGACAGCATCTAAATAAACAAACTTATAATGAACTACATGTCACTCACTGTCACTAAATCACATCCAATCATCAACACACACACTTACTGTAACCTCGAACTGATGTGTTCAGTTTTGGGAAATCTGTGTGTTTTGGACAGTCGAGGACAGCGTGTGTGTGTGTGAGAGTGTGTGTTATAGTGTGTGTTGTAGTGTGTGTGTGTGTGAGAGTGTGTTATATAATGTATGTGTGTGTGTGTTGTGGTGTGTGAGTGTTTGTTGTAGTGTGTGAGTGTTTGAGCGTGAGAGTGTGTTATATAATGTATGTGTGTGTGTGAGTGTGTGTGTGAGTGTGTGTGAGCGTGTGTTATAGTGTGTGTGTGTGTGTGTGTGTGTGTGAGTGTTGTAGTGTGTGTATGTGTGTGTGTGTGTGTGAGAGAGAGAGAGAGTGAGTGTGTGTGAGTCCGCTGCAGCAGGTGGCGCTGCTGTTTGTTGTGCTCGTCAGAAACAGGAACGAGTTCCGGTGAATATTAAATTTCTGCTTGTTCTACTCACCGATGAATTTCGCTGATAATTTACACAAATGGCCGAGTAGGATGGATCAGGTGAGTGTTCCGTGGTTGTAATAGTTCACGCTGCTCGATAAACGGGGCTGAAGGCGCTTTAAGCTGCTGAATGCGCTGTTTGAATGAGTTTAATCTGCGGAAGGTTTGTTCGCATTCAGCGGCTCTCTCTCTCTGTATCTCTCTCTCTCTTGTTTGTTAGTGGTTTGTTGTGCTGTCAGCGGCCGCGGTGTGTGTGTGATGTTATTCACTCTGTTTTAGGACTTCGGGAACAAACTGCCGCAGGCTCTGTCGACAAACACTAAACTGCCCCAGTCTCTCTCCTCTAGCGCGAAGTTTCTGCCCTCAGGCCCGTTTGAGCGCTGCGGCCGCCCGCTGGGAGTCAAAGTCAAAGAGGAAGACGAGAGTGTGGAGGATTTCTTTCATTTCGGTGAGTGTCTACACACACACACTCTCACTCACACTCTCACACACACTCTCACTCACACTCTCTCACACACACACACACACACTCTCTCACACACACACACACACACTATAACACAAACTCACACACTATAACACACACTCACTCACTCACACACACACATATATATACACACACACTCTCTTACACAAACATGCATAGACACACACACACACACTCACACACACACACACTCACACACACACACACTCACACACACA